TAACCCCCGTCATCAGCACAAGAGAAGGTACCATGTGAGCTAATGAGTTCATTTGAAATGCTTCTTGAGGTTGCATATGATTATTAATCCAGAAATAAAATTTTAAGCAGGAGATTTGATGACTCTGTGTCACTTGAAACACCTGTGCCACACTACGATGGCCGCCAATGGAGGAAGTATGGGGAGAAGCACATCAACAACACCAAACACTCAAGGTGAATTTATCCTTCTTAATTCGAAAGATGCGTATTTCCTGGTTATTCTTTCATTTCCTTTTTTAAAAACTCCCTTGTATTACCAAGCAATCATGCCACATGTTGTTCCAATGATGTTAAGCAAGCTAGGTGGTAGAAATTTAGTTTGGAATGATAAAGGAAGGACACTGCCAGTTTTTTTTTTTTTTTTGTACTGAACTCTAGGCCGGCTTAGGCTGATCCTAGATTTGCTCATGACTTTACTGTATTAATTAGTATGTGCACAAAGTTAGATAATGATGCAAATTTGCAATAGCTGTATTTGTCACTAGCTAATTCAGGTACATATGCAGGAGCTACTACAGATGCACCTACGGAAAGGAACAAGGCTGCAAAGCAACGAAGACGGTGCAGCAACAAGATGACAGCAGTAGTGCTGATCATACCTTGATGTACACGGTCGTCTACTATGGCCAGCATACATGTAAGGATAATGATGGTGTTAATTCAAGCCCCGATAACTCTGAAACAAACACCCGAAGCAGCAGCGACAGCCAATCCAGCATATCGAGCACCTGTACAGATCCTTGTGACCATCAGAATCAGACATCCCTACATGACAATAAACCGATCGACGACAAATCTGAAGAGTTGGTCACAAAAGGCATGTATGAGCCATTCGACATGACTGTGTTTGCACCGTTGGATTTGGATAGTTGGGAGTTGGATGCACTCCTGAGATTTGGAGCCTGATAACTCAGATACCGATGAAAAGCTAGTGACAATTAGTTGATAGTTTGGTATGTTTTGAAGAGGGGTATGTAATAAGGTATATATTCATCAGAAGCTTGTGCTTAGTTGTCTAGGTTTGAAAATATCATTTGCACAATGTACAATACTAAGTATACCGTCAATTCTGTGTGTTTTCTTTATCAAAAAGTTATAAATGGAAAGAAAAGAGAGTGAAAGAGAAAGAATAATCTATTGTATATATAACCTTCAAGTCTTCAAGGACAGCATTGGTGCAATTTTAATTTTAATTTGTAGTAACTCTCTAACAAGTAAAAACAGAAAACCGAGCCATTTACTGACAAAAAATTACAGTTTTCATGACAAACCCTCAATACATTTGGGCGTGATTTTGATATCATGACATGGTGACTTACCATGTGGATCTGGGTGGAATTAATCAATCCGCCTTTCTCAATGATACTGTAAATGTAAAACAAAAAAATCAGATATGCCTTGTCATTTCTATTGCAACTAGGAATCAGCTGGCAATCAGAGTGCATGGGATCCTCACCTTCTTACTCATCATTGTGTATTTGTGTTCTGGATTTGAAATATTATATTAGTGCCAACTCATTCTGGAAATATATTTGAGAAGTATATTACATATCAATGCAACAGCGTCATGCAAATTAAGTATAGTAGACTTACTATTATGTGAATAAAAAATCGTAGGCGCGCAGTCTGACCCATGGCCGCCATATAAGATAGTTGTATATGCTCTTAGTTTTTTCCGTGAGCAGTTGCCTCTTGGTACTTAATATGGTTTGAGATAGATTAAGGAATGATGTTGAAACTAAGTATTAGTATAAAAAAGGACGTACCGTACCCATTTATATATCTACCTTGGTACCACTGCCGTATGATGCAAAACAATATATATATATTTCTACCAGACAAGTTGGTACATGCTGGTATGTATCTAGGACAGCATATATATCTGTCAAGTTAGATCAATTTGATCTGTAAATATGAAAAGAACCTGACTTTCAGTGATGATAACGAACGGAGTTGAGAGGCCACGTGCTTACCACTGTATAAGTATGTTCCATTTCACCAAACACCTGATGGGATCCAAGCAAGGAGATGGAATATAGCATTATATTACTCATGCCAACTTTTTCTATGGCACTTAATTACATCAACTTGTGGATGCACCTCATTTGATTAATTTGGATCAGAGCCTGGTAATAATTCATATATGGATGAATGAGTGGCAGTTGAAGAGGTGGCAAAATTTTGCAAAGAGGGTTCATCATCAGTAGGAATGACGTATACAGATTAATTTGTGGTTATATTAGCTACTACCTCTTGTATCCACTATTAGAATTAATATGTAGAGCTCCTTAATTATTACTAAATCTGTTCCAAATTATAATTCATTTGACTCTTTTGACCTTAAGTTTGACCACTCGTCTTATTCAAAAATTTGTTCAAAATATCACTTCTTTTGCTGTAGCTTATTAACAAAAGTTCTTCAAGAATATCTTAAATTTGACTATGTTTGCATAAATTTTTTGAATAAGATGAGTGGTCAAACTTGGGGTCAAAAAAAGTCAAACAAATTAGTATTATAATTTGGAATGGAGGAAGTAGTTAACACACATAGACTTGACCTAGAGCATGCTTGCATCGCCATTCTCTATATAATAATATTTACATTACTGATGAAAAAAGATCCCATCAGGAAACATAAGATTTCCTAATTCAGTATTATCAGTTTATGCCAAAAAGGGCAACTTGAAAAAAGTACGGCATTAGTCTATTTTGAGTTGTTGACTATATATAGAAAAGTGGTTAATTGCTGGTTGATTGCTCGGCAAGTAAGAACCCCGGTCCAGCTCCTTTTAATTGTTTAATGTAATTAGCAATCGCCATGCGCATGCCTCAGTCGCCCTTCGGCCGCCACCACGACAAAAGAAATGTTTGGTTTTGCGGGAAAGTAAAGATTGCCCTTAGGGGCAAAAGCTCTGGCATTGTGCACTACACATTTCCCATTGAGATATGTGCACTCCTGCCGTGCACACATCTCAATGCGAAATGTGTGGTGCACAATATGAGGGCATGTGCCCTTAAGATCGAAATTGGCTTGGCATCCATTACCCACAACTTGCATTCACTACCAGATTTTAAACATTCGGTAGTGATAGCTCTAGTGTTTTATTTCTGGTTGCTCACCCGGCCTACAGTGACGCTCATTTCACAAAAAGGGGGAAAAACACGGATTTTTTTTATACGGTGGTGTCGCATATCAGGCTGCTGTGCCATACTTCCTAGATGGCATCCACGTACTGATCCTAAGAGCATCTCACGAAAGCCCCATACCTGTATGATCGATAAGAGCTAGCCACATGATAAAGCCTCCTCCTATTCCACAGAGCCCAGCACCGGTGCCACACAGCCTGATATGCGACACCGCACATAATTTTTTTTTCTAAAAAACACCAACACTGGGACCTCCACCTTTATTCGCATGGCTGGGAGCTCCGCTCACGCATCATGCCAGGGCCACCTTAGCCTCCCCCTGCCCGCGTTGGGGTTGCCGCCTGTACCCCACGCTGGGGTGAGGCAAGGAGAGAAGGAGACCAGAGGGAATAAGACTATGAGAAGGGGGTGGAGGTTGTGCAGTAGTGAAGGCGAGAGGGAGTTAATCGCGTTGAAAAGAAATTTGAAGTCTAGGGACGAGGGAACATAGACGGTTAGTAATATAACCCGACAGTAATACCTAGTATATATTGCCGGGTTGTATTAACAACCAATAGTGATAATCATTTATCATTGTCGGATGGTTTTAAAATCTAACAGTAGTGTCCTTTTTCCTTATGAACCGACAGTGATACTCCGTCTACACTATTGGTTTTATACTATCCAATAGTAATGAGCCGGCTATGATTGTGGTTTGTGCAGTAGGTTACACTGTCTGGACGTGCGAAAGGAGACTCTAGGTAGTCTAAGTTCTTGTGCAAACCTCTTATCTCTTTGCATATGATGTAATGGCAACTGGTAAGCAAATAAAACCCCATTCATTCTCCGCAGCCCCAATTGCATATTTGTTACTAGCTAACTGGTCCACCATAGGGCCAACATTGACCTCCCTCTTTATATTGGTTGGGCCCAGGGATTGAAGAGACGAGCTCCAAAAGGCAAATCTCAACCGTACAACGAAATCCTTGTGAAATCTAGGTTGGTAATTTATTTATGCATTTGGCTAAATCACACCTCACGATTTTATCATATATACTATTCCATTATCTAGAAAATGCCACCATGGTCCACTGCACTGCTGGTCTATGTGAACTACGACGGGACGGCGCGCTCTGCTGCGCCTGTATTATTTGCGTGGACAGTAAAGCAGGAAGTGGGCAGTTACGGGCTGAATAGTGGCAGGGAAGTAATTAAAGCTGGGTTGAACAGTGTTTTCTATGAGGTAAGAAGAGGACACGTGGTTAGCACGGTCGTCCAGCAATTTATTCGGCGTTGAAGACTATCTTATTCGACGGCTAATTATATGTTCTTTTTTCTAAAAGAAAACGTCCCTATAGCTAGCTAAAGACTGGCCTAAGAACTATGCATATCAGGTGAAGGTGAAAGTCTCACTCTGTGGGCTCCTGCTGGATGGGAATACCCTGTGGACGTGTGGTCATGCACGAGCCCATGCGTTCACACCTCCAAATGGATGCTGCCTCGCTGCTTCTTCTATTCATTTTCCTGAATATATTCAGATCACAGCCATATATAAATTTACGACGACTAAACCGTCACACGTGCAAATTAAGCTTGTCACACATAATCAGGACATCACACTCAATTGTTGCACTACTCTCTCTCTCTCTCTCTCTCTCTGTGTGTGTGTGTGTGTGTGTGTGTATAACCAAGTGCACACCCCACGACCCCTCTCGGCTACCTGACTGTCACACATACACCGATACTACCCCAGCTAGAACTTCGTGTGCAGGGCTCAATCACAGAACAATTGAGTCCTGACCGAATGGACCGTACCGCAAGAGCAGCATCGTCATGCTGCCACCCTGCGGCCATGGCTGGGAGATGATGGACGCCAAGAGGAGGCAGCAGGAGCTCCTGATGCAGCTCCGAGCGCTTGTCCTCCCAATGTTCCACGGTGTCATCGATGGTACCTCGGTCAATGGTACCTCGGCCGCCGAGATCGCTGTCCAGCTCTTTGACGACGTGATCGGCTGCAACATAGGCGTGGTGTCTACACTTGAATGGTGCCTCATGAGTACCGGAGCCGGAGGCGGATCATCGGTAGGGCCCGTAGACAACAAGTTGATGGTGAGGAAGAATAGCTGCCGTGTTACTAATAATGGTGAGAAAACGGAGGAGCAGCAAGCAAGGCATAGAAGCGTGGTTGGTCAAAAGAGAAGGTGTGCAATTAGATATTGATACCTCAACATATAGCACTGCTCTTCCCCAGCTGATGACTTGCTTAATTATAATCATAATATATGTGATTGGAGTTGGTAAAACTAACATTTAAGATATTAAACATGATAACCTATGTCTTGCATGCATGTTCAACCATATATATAGGGTGGCATTAATTTGGAAGCTAGTTAGGTTAACACTTTTAATTTGCATGCTCATCAAGTTATAGTGATCCGCTGGACAAATTACAACTGATCATGTACATGCCCATACTCTTGTTGTAAACATCCATCCGTAATCAATTGATCAATTTTTAGTTCATATACTGATACCACATATGTATCCAGGAGGAACGACAAGCGATCAAGATCCCTTGTTACACATGTTCCACATTACGATGGCCATCAATGGAGAAAATATGGGCAGAAGAACATCAATGGGAGGCGACATCCTAGGTAATACATCTATATATATATGCATTACATTCTTTTATCAGCTAACAAAACAAGCTACATTTTTATTAGGTAGCTTGTTTCGTTAGCTGATGATCTCTAAAAGTTCAATGGACACAAAATATATAACAATAGTCACTATATGGCATGATGAACTTGTGATCAATTGAGCAGGAGCTACTATAGATGCACCTATAGAGAACAGAACTGCTTTGCAACGAAGACAATTGTATGGCCATTTGAAGGTAGCACGCACGTGTGATATTTCAATAGTCCCCCGAGCGCCCCCATCGGGTGACTCGGGGGCGACAACGCCAGCGCGCCCTAGCCCGCTCTCCTGGCCTCCTCTCCGGCCGCCATCGCCACCCTCCTAGCTTGCAGCGGCATTGGCCAGCGGCGGATCCCCAACAAAGGAGCCCATCCGCGCCTGTAAAAGCTCTTGTTTGGTTTTGGTGAATTGATGAAACCCTAAGTGCTAACCTAGTTTATCAAAGTGATTATGAGATAGGTGGCACATTCCAAGTGGTGAAACAAATGAAAATCATAACATGATGATGGTGATGCCATGATGATGATCACATGCTTGGACTTGGAGAAGAAGAAAGAAAAACAAAAAGCTCAAGGCAAAGGTATAAGTGGTAGGAGCTTTTTCGTTTTGGTGATCGAGACACTTAGTGAGTGTGATCACATTTATGATTGATAGCCGTACTATTAAGAGGGGTGAAACTCATATCGAAATGCGGTTATCAAAGTGCCACTAGATGCTCTAACTCATTGCATATGCATTTAGGATCTAGTGGAGTGCTAACACCCTTGAAAATATTTGTGAAAATATGCTAACACACACGCATAAAGGTGATACACATTGTGTTTAGCACTTGGGAGAAATGGTAAGAAACTCTACGGGGCGGACACTCTGCCGGTGCCACCGGCGCCCTGAATAGAAAATACAGGGCTTCACAGAGTGCACCGGATGCTGGCCTCAACTGGACCGGAGCGTCTGGTCAGTGGAAGCAGTGAAGACGCTGGCATCGGTCTTCGACCGGACGCTGACGGGGAGCGTCCGGTCCTACTGACATGGCAGCACACAGAGAAGAGGGTGACTGACCGGACGCTGGGTGAGTCCGGTCAGGGGTGACCGGACGCATCCAATCGTGAAAAATTGTCTCTGGATGTTTACTGGAAACGACCGGACGCTGGGGTCCTGCGTCCGGTCACTTCGAAGCAGCGCGTCCGGTCACCACTTAAATGTACTGATGACCGTTGAGATCGGGCGATTAACGTTTGAAATAGGGGCCACGTTGAATGCATCGCGCGATCGGACGCTGAGGTCCAGCGTCCAGTCGATTTGACCGGCACGTCCGATCGTCCTGATTTCCAGTGGACTGAGGAGCCAACGACTCTATTTCGTGCGGGCTTCTATTTAAGCCCCATGGCTGGCTCAAGCTCTCTCTCTTGGCCATTTGCATTGACATAGCAATCTTGTGAGCTTAGCCAAAGGCCTCCCACTCATCTCCATCATTGATCCATCATCTTTGTGAGATTGGGAGAGAATCCAAGTGCATTGCTCGAGTGATTGCATCTAGAGGCACATGGTATTCGCGTTTCATTATGGGATTCACTTGTTTCTCTTGGTAGTTACCGCCACCTAGACGGCTTGGAGCAGCGAGGATCGTCGAGCGGAGGTTGGTGATTGTCTTCGGCTCTAATCGTGGTGATTGTGAGGGGTCTTGTGCCTTCCCCGATGGAGCGCCGAAAGGTAACTCTAATGGATTGCTCGTGTCATTGAGTTACCTCACTTGTGGGTAGGTTCTTGCGGTGTCCAATTGTGTAGACGAGGTTCATGCAACACCTCTTAGCCGCCGAACCACCAAGTGTTGGTCGACACAACGGGGACCAGCGTGCCGCCAAGCACGTGAACCTCGGGAGAAAAATTGGTTGTCTCTTGCCCTTTGGTATTCTTCTGGTGATTGATTTAGTATTCATCTTGTGATTGATTCACTCCTCTACACGGCGGTATAATCACCCTACTCACTCATTTATATTCTCGCAAACTAGTTATAGCAAGCTCTTTAGTGTAGCTAGAATTGAGAGCTTACTTTATAGTTTAAGTTCATCTAGTGGAGCTCTCTAGTATAGCAAGTGTGAGAGCTCTTAGTGAGTAGTGACTTAGCAAATTGTGTGTCTAGTGATCATAGTAACTAGAATTGTTGGATAGGTGGCTTGCAACCCTTGTAGAGCTAGAGCAAGTTTGCATTTCACCATTTGTTATACTAGTCAAATTGCTCTAGTTGATTTATAGATTTTTAAACAGGCTATTCACCCCCCCTCTAGCCATATTAGGACCTTTCAGCCTCTCCCTCCCTCCCACTCGCTCTTCCACCCCTCCCCCTCTGCAACTCCGGTGGATCTCGGCGGCGGCCAGTCGGATCTGGGCCCCTGGGGCCGAATCTTGCTTCTGGGGACGCCTTGCGCCTCACCTCGACGTCGGCCAGTGGCAGCTCCTTCCTGGTGGCCGGAGGCAGCGCCGGACACTGCGCCAGTGCTACATCGGCTGCCCCCCTCAAGACCAACATTTCTCGCTGGTGGCCGGCCGGATCTAGGCTCCTAGGGCCGGATCTGGCTTCTTGGGGCGCCAGCCCTTCTCCACGACGTGGGTCGATGGTGCCTCCAGGCTGCTGGCGCTGCCGGGCCCTTGGTTGTCCGCGCGCGCACTGCTAGTCCCCTGCAGGTCATAGCGGTGGTGGCTGTGTCTGGCTAGGGCCCTCCCACGCTGTCGGCCTCCACACTGGCGGCCAGCGTCCCTCCCGTTGGCTAGGCCTACCGTCGTGGGCCTCGCTGGCGGCCAGCGCACCCCCGCACCGGATCCCCCCTCCCTATCGAGGGGTGTGGTTGGCCGAGCATGCCCCCCGGAGCAGCAGCCAGTGGCCCTTATGGTCGGCTGGCTTGCGTCGGCGACGATCCTTGTGCGCCTGGTGCTGGACGGATGCCCCCCGGAGTGGCAGCCAGTGGCCCTTGTGGTCGGCTGGCTCGCATCGGCGACGATCCTGGTGCGCTCGGTGCTAGATGGATCTGGCCAGCTCTTGGCCTAGGGCGTCTAGACGATGGTGTGTTGTCATGGCCAGAGTGTGTGCTGCGGCTGCGTCTGCACCACCTTGGAGTTCTAGGCGATAGCTCAGCCCGGCTTTGGCCAGGTGGACGACGGTGACACCTCGGGTGCCACATACCTCCTTGGAGGCCTCGTTGTTGAACCCATACCTCTGCACCGACAATGCTAGATTCTGGGCGTAAGCCCCGCCTTAGATGCCTCTAAGGCCAGCGGCGATGGCGTCCACGGTGATAGCCTTGGGCGTCAACCCCTTCCTGAAGGCGTCGTTGAAGAATCACTACTCCGCTTCCCTGCCTGGAGTTGGCCCTTGCTGGGCTAAGCCTGATTGTGCTCCATGCTAGTCTTCACTTCGGTTGGTCCAGTAGTTGGTTAGTGTTGCCGCAGTCGTTTGCTTCTCTATAGCGAATGCGTTGCCGCTGTCGCTATTCTTCGATAGATGCTTTGCCATCAGGTTGCTCGGGCGGTTGCCATGTCGCTTCGGCCTCCCCTCTCAGGCAGATGCTTTGCTGCTGTGAGCGTGATGGCCCCACATCCGCGGATGCTTTGCCGCGTTGATGGTTGTCTCGGGCGGATGCTTTGCCGCCGTGCTGCAATTCTGGCGGATGCGTTGCGCCATGGTCTCTTTTCTAGCGGATGCTTTGCCGCTGTTATCATGCTAGCGCCCTTGGCGGATGCTTTGCCGCTGTTATCATGCTAGCGCCCTTGGCGGATGCTTTGCCACCGAGGTTGATGCTGGCCTCGTCACCTTTGCAAGGACCATAACGTCAGCATAGTCCAGCTTCCTCAACTAGTCAGCAGTATGGATCTTCAGAACATGGAAATGGCTCAAACAAGTTCAAGTGTTCAAGATCCTGAGGCAGACTTGGACTTGCCAGCTTTACTAGAGGTGTTTGATAATTCTCTCATTGATTGGGAGGATAGTTGGAAGATATGATATATATCTAGCTTTTCACCACACATTGTAAGATCATAGTAAGGTACAAGTTTTGATTTATATACTGCATACAGTGGTATGTATGTCAATTCTGCCAAAAAGGTTACCCTCCAGTATAGTCTCGAATATTTGGACAATGGATGAAATTGGGCGGTTTTGAGTTAGCTTTAGCAATTAGTCAACTTTTCATTGGAGGCAAGTTCATTGTTTAGTTAAGGGTACTCAATTTGCTACCTATTCAATTCACACAAAAAAATTGCTACCTATTCAGTTTCATTCTGCAATGTAGAATGGATCGAGATGTTTAGTTATCAATTAGGAGTATAACTACATATGTAACATTCCACATAATCATCATAAATAATCATACAATCAGCTGATCTTGATAATCATCTTTAAAAATCAAGTCTTTCTATGGTACTTATGTATGGGGAGTTGGGGGGTTGATTGTTACTAAAGATACCTTAGCAAAGCGCAATGGGTATAAGGCAGTAAGACATGAAGCTTTTATCATGAAAAGGAGAGAATTAAGAACATGTTTTGCAAGTGTCGATTGCTCGTGTTGTTTGGGTGGTAATTCACAAGGCTTTAGGCCTTTCTCAGACATGTTTGGACCTTGGATATGAGGGAATTAGTAGAGTCTGAAACTGCTAGTCCTATTGGGAGCGGCAGCTACTACTTGCTTGTTGCTTTTGATTTGTAGGAATGATTTAGTATTGAAAAGAAAATTTTTCATCTCTTTTATTTACAGGGCATCTGCTCAGTTATCCATTGGCTTCATTCATGGGCTATCATGCTAAAACCAACACCTCAAGATTAATTTGGCTATGGTGGCATCGCATTTAGCACAGGTGGCCAAGGGCGTGTTTCTCTCAGGCACATGGGTGACTGCATGCCTAGTCCTCGGACAAGTGGTCGTTAGTGTTCTTGTACTTTTCCTTCTTTTTTTGCTGTGTGCTTCTGG